AAAAACATCCCCATAAAACAGGTCCTTGTTGTTCTGTCTCTACACCAGCCAACAACTTTCAAAACAGCTATCAGAGGCTTGAAAAGAGATGGATGTTTCAGTCTATATTGCAGCATTATGAGTTGATTCGTGCATAAATCTAAAGTATATTTTGATTATTAAGACCTGTTTGATCTCATCTGGAGTACAAGTTCACATTGATGCTGTTCATGAAACAATGAAGAAGTTAGACAATGTTAGGTACTGACTGTCAATTGTTATATGGTGCCAAGACAACCGACATAGACATAGTATAACTTATGCTGCAGACATGTCTTTCAGATGTACACTTTGGAAAAGCTGGTTTTGGAAAAAAGGATGAATTTTCCAAAACTGTATTTTTTTGACAAACTGAAAGGTTGTTTAATAGTTGTTGTACATACAATTGCAGCGAAAAGGCTGAATCCAACAAACTACTAGTGTAAAAAAGCTCTCATTTACTAATTACAAGGCAAGAATTTTAAAATATGAACTGTTTTACTCGGTGCACATTCTAAACATATAATATCATACTATGTTCTGCTGTAGAATATGTGACATTGTGTAAGCTGATTAAATAAAGCTGAAATTGAAATAGTTTGAAATTAAAGTTATTTTTAGGATAATATATTCGTTGACACATTATCTTAGCTTTACATGTTGCATATTCAACTGAGCTCAGAGATATTTAGATCAAACATGTTTATTTTAGCTAAACTATTCCAATACATTCCTCAAGGATTATTAAATCAATTTGATCACATCATGTGGTACCAGCTTGAAATGGTTTTTAATCAGATATTAACACATATCTCTATTATTGACAATAATTTCATTCTAATTTACATGTAACTCTCAGAACAAATATTCTGGATAGCATGATATTTATATATTTGCACTTTTGATACTTAAGAAAGGGATTGTCAATAATTTTAATTTTTTACTGAGAAACATGTGCATATACGTACATGTAATAAAGCAATTTCATTCTTATTTACCTATTTCCACCAAATCAAAGCAGGTATATTGGCAGGTATATTGGCAGGTATATGTGCAATTTGAATCTACATGTATTAATACCATAACATTCATCAAAGTTTAATATAATGGTATCATTTTTTGTCATCATTACTCATTTTGATACATTATCAATGCCTGATTACATGTTCAATTACTTAAAAGGCACTTTTTGTGTATGAGAAGAAGTGGAAAAAAATACAGGCAATCTTCTTAAAAATCGGTTTCAAACCAAGTTGTGTTAAAGGTTGCATAAAAACCTTGTTTTAGCTTATGACATTTGAGGAAAGGTGCCTTCAGGCATCTTTAATGCCAATATGACATCAAACACTTTTCCACAATAATCATTTTCGACTTTAAAATCCATCTACTAATGACTATATTCAAGTATCTTCAGGCTATTCCATTCAGCTACATTATTATTGCACCAAAACCATATTATCTGTTTATCATAAAAAAAAATTTATTAAGAATTTTGATATCTTTAGGTCCAAGCTGAGGTATCTTGAAATAAGAAATCGGAATCAATCTGTGACATTTCACAGTTCAAAATATTTCAACTATTTCAACACATGTCTCTGTTTTTCTTTCTTGCACAATGCCCAACTATGTCTCGCTTCTGTCTATTCACTTACATTGGCTTGTGAATATCTGAAGAAGTATAGCAATGATGACTTTGAATCAATATAGCATGATTATCATGAATTAAAAAATTAGATGAATTCGTACATAACAGATTAATGAACCAGATGGAACATGCTGACATGCTCTCTTACTCTTGTAGTTTTTAAAATCGGTTAACACATTTCTTTTTTTATTGAAATATCAAACACATTAAGATAAAATCCTTCCATGCCAAATTTGGCGAAAATTATCTAAGTTACAAAACGGAACCACATTTCGGTAGCGGATGACAGATATGAAGAACAGTAGATAACCTACATTCAGCCATTATTAATCTATAATCCCAGGAGATTAAAGTCTTATTAAGAAAGTCGGTGACATTATCACACAGTGTCAGTATATTTACATTCATCTGTCAAATTTATTTCATTTTCATTAAATCAATAGCATCCTTTCAGCCACATATTATTTCATCATTCTATATCAACCTATAAAAGAAATAAGTATGCTTTGTTGAAAATGATTTATAGAGACATTTATTAACAAGCTTATAAACACTTGATGTATCTCAACATCTTTTGAAATGAGTTGAAAGATAAAATGTGTTATCTTAAAATTATTGATTTTATGAGAGATTTTTTACAATTGGAACTAAATTAATGTAGTCTGAAAGGTTTCTACATTGTTTCAGAAGGATATTTTAGAGTTATTGATATCACAAATTTTATAAAGATCTCCTGAAGTTCTCCAAATTGCAAATTCTACTTATGTGAGCTCAAATTTGGTATATATAAAAGTGTCACAACCCATAATATAAGTTCCAATTGTGCAGTACAAAACAGTCAAGTGTTTGTGTTTATCTTGCTGATTGTGAATTTTTTTTATCTCAGACAGATGAAAGCGCTACAGGTCAACATTGCTGTAAATGGGTACTGATAATCTGGCAAAGATCAATGCCAAGAGGTTTAGCCAAGGACCAGCAGTCATAAAGAATCCTTGTGATTATTGAGATCTTTTTGATGATGTGAAAAAAAATAAGGTTTTGGGCTGTTGGGAATTTGGATAACATTATGAAACTAGAGCCACACGTGGCACAGAGTGGGACTTTGCAAATGTAGCAAATTGCAAAAGACTCTGAAAAAATCAACCTTCTACGATAATTACATCACGCGCAAGAGCAGTCTAAAGTTGAGAAGAATTCTTTGGAAGATTGTTATAACGGAAGTAGACAGACCTCACAAATGAAAGTATCAGAAGATAGCCAAGGTCAATGACATTTAACATTGAAAGGGAGAGGGTCAACAAAGGTCAAGGTTACGAGATACAAGTCATCAAAATTTTTAAATATATACGGCTATAAAACCGGAAGTTGAGATAGGACAGCCAATATAAAAGTATAAATAGACAACCAATTTGAATGACCTTTGATCCTACAAAAATCAGGGTCAAAAAAG